TATAGACTTACATTGTACAAATTTAGACTCTTACACATACAATAATTCTGACAGTTATCTTATCCCATAGAATTCTCTCACATGTTGTGTGGTTGGGAGTATTTTTATCTGTGTACTGTAAAAATGCATGTGAAATTGCAAGGAGAATGTACTGGGCAGGCTTTTTTTTAAATGCAAGTGTTTAAATGTGCGACTGGTCAAATATATACACACCTTACCAAAACCAGGGATTTATAAATGCAAGGATGCTGAACAAACACTTGACCCCTCTATGGATATTGTGACCCCTTACCCAGAAAAATCCCAGAACCTTCACTGCCTTTATTGTTGGTGATATCAATGAGCAGCTCAATTGATCAAATATTAGTCAATACACGTGTATGTTTTACTGGGGAAATGAATAGTTTATTTAAAATAAAACGTCACTGTTAAGTGTCTTCCTTTTGATTGATGTGTGGAGCAGGTCATCTTTGTTATCACCGCCTCCTCCTCCTCCTCCTCCTCCTTCTACAGATTTGGGGCTCTCTCTCTGATCACAACCAAGATGGCTGCCTGAGTGGTGATGCTCCGAAGTGCACTTTAAACTCTCATTATTGAGCTTGACGTCCTCCATTATTGTGATCAGGTCGTTACCTGTCGAGCAGCAGCCCAGGTGAGTCACAAATCACCGGTGGTGGTTTTTATTCATTCTTTTTCTTCTTCTTGTCTCGTGCTGTCTTGTCTGCAACAGTGTCCTGCCACTCAGTGCAGCTAGCAGTGGTTAAATTAAAGTGTGTGGTTTTGCACAATGAATAATTCTTGCTGGCGGCAAAAAAAATACGTGTAGAGGAGAAAACGGAGTGAATGTGCAGTTCTTCGCAGAAGACGTGTCGGTTTGAAGGTGCTGCTTTGATGATGAAAGCGTCACGTTAGCAGCGGTATGCTAGTGTTGTTTTACGGAGCTAGCTTTGCGACAAGCTAACAGGCTGTGGGTTTTAAGTTTATTAAGAGTTCTGCTGGGCTGCTGTGACGCAGTCCCTTTGCGTGGTTGAGTTGTACTCGTCCAGACATGGTGGGGTATGAAGGTACGGTCGTGTAGGTGTTCTGTGGGGAGCTGCTGGGGTCAGAAATGAGTGTTTTCGTCCTTTTTTCTGTGTGACTGCTGTCGTGTTCGATCGGTGAACAGATGGTTCTGCTTTCTGCTTGACAACAGTTTAAAGGGAGTRGAAAATGTCGAATGGGGAAGGCAAGAGGGAGTTTTTTATTGACCATGAAGTTGAAACAGACCAGTCAGGAAGATGACATTTATAATTTCTTACATTGTGTTACTTGGAAAATTAAAACATTTTATTMACACATAACAAAACAGTTGACATTTGATGTTAGTTCGAGGTTTTTGGTGTAAAGTTGAGAGTCTGGAGTCATGTGTCGGCAGTAGCTGGGTCAGGGTGGTCCAGACATCTCTTTCCACAGCTCCTCTGGGCGGAAGGGGAACCAGCTGAGTTTCTCCTCTGTGTCACTGGTCTCCTCCCAGTTAGATATGATGTCCTTACCAGATGAACCACCTCAACGAGCCCACATCATCAGCCCCTCTCCACCGTGCTTGACAGTTGCTATAACCTGGCTGATATGCCATTCAGATATTATTTAACATTAGTCGGGTTGATGGTCAGCCACTGGAGTTTTTCCACCTTGTCGTCGTGTTAACACACCTGTTTCAAATAAGCACACCACTTGCCTTTATAGCTGTGCCACACTGATGATTTATGTTTAATCAGCAGCACCTGGCTGCTGCTTTCCCCTTTAAATCCTGTGAAAGCAGAAAGGTGGACTTAGTTTTTCCGCACAACGTTTCTGTTTTGCTTTTGTTTGAGTTTAATAATGACATGATGAAATCTGTTGTGTGTTTTTGGAGAAAGGCCAGGTCGTCCTGAACTTCTCATGGCTGTAATTCAATGGAGGATTCATTCGAACTAATCTTTACTTCATGTTGACAATTTTTGCATTATCAGTCTGATGATATGTGAAAAGGGTTTTGGTAAATGAATGCTTTTTTTTGTATCTGCTTTTTTTCCTTTTTAAACAAAACAAAATTTGACCACCCAATCTTTTAACATGTCTTTATTTTCTTTCAGAGACCTTTGGGTTTTTAGGACTACAATGTTTTTAAGGTGAGACTGACATACATACATACACACAAACACACAAACAAATAAATGAACAAATAAATAAACAAACAAACTTGTAATCAAACATCCCAGATTGAACTTTTTGGGGATAGTTAAGTATTACTGCGAACATTACCAAAGTATTTTTCATTTTTAGCTAAAAAATACACAAAAATGCATATGAAAACACAGTTCTAATCCAATACAATGCACATTATTATTATTATTATTATTATTATTATTATTATTATTATCATCATCTTGCTTTGTCAAACTATTTACCTGTTTTTTATGCACTTATTTGCTTAAATTAGTCTTTTTTTCTTACTGTCATTTTATGTTTTTGTCTCATCAGAGTGCCCAGTCGGGGTTCACCCCCCAAGTCCAGACCACCACCACTGATTCTTCCACAACATGTAAACAAGACGATCATGATAAAAGTACACTTGTAGAAAAATCAGCATCTCTCTCTTTTAGTTATAAAACAACAAACAAACAAAAATAAATCTGACCAGCTCAGCAGATAGCTGAGGTTTCTGTTTGAACTTGAAATTCTTCCCTTTTCAGTGTTTTGCGTTTTTTTTTTGTTTTTTTTTCCCGAGCTGAAAGTAGACAGCTGGTAATGGATGATGCTGGTCATGGTGACTTAGTGTAAATGGCTATCAATCAGCACGACTCACTGACAGTATTTAATGTCCAATCTTCCTCCCCCGCTCTATTCTCCTACCACTCCTGCTCCTCATCTCTGCCCTTCTGGACTTTTAACCGTCGCCACTTGCTGACCTGCCTTGCCTCCCTCCTCCGGCATCATGGTGGGCACAGGCTTGGGTTTTTGGAGGCTAATGCGAGGTGTCCGCCAGCTAGAGCTCCATCGCCTGATTCTGGCACTTATCATCTTCTGCTTGCTCTCCATGGCCTTCCTAGCTTACTATGTCTCCAACAGCCCCAAAATCAAAGAGCCCCCACCTTTACCTTTCAGTGACTGCGGTGGAGGTGGGGGGGTACCACCGGGCGTGAGCACTGGGGCTGCTGGTGGGGGGACGGGTGGCCAGAGGTCGCCCCTTCTACTTCCCGTGCACCAGGAGCGACTACAACAAGTAAAGACAGTTGACAGTTCCAGGACTGACCCTGTGGTCCTGGTGTTCGTGGAGAGCATCTATTCCCAGCTGGGCCAAGAGATCATTGCGATATTAGAATCAAGTCGCTTCCGCTACCGCACAGAAATCGCCCCTGGTAAGGGTGACATGCCCACTTTAACGGAACATAACCGTGGGCGGTACACGTTGATAATCTTTGAAAACGTGTTGAAGTACGTCAACCTGGACGTGTGGAACCGTGACCTGCTGGACAAGTACTGCGCCGAGTACGGAGTGGGCATCGTGGGTTTCTTTAAGGCCACTGAAAACACTCCCCTCAGTGCGCAGCTCAAAGGTTTCCCCCTCTTTCTTCACTCCCACCTGGAACTCAGGGACTARCGCATCAACCCCAGCGCTCCGCTGCTCTACATCACCAAGCCCAACCAGGTGGAGCAGGGCTCGCTGCCCGGAGACGACTGGACCATTTTCCAGTCTAACCACTCCACATACGAGCCCGTGCTTCTGGCCTCCACCAAATCCTCCGAGGCTCTGTCCCAGTTTGGACCCAGCCCTCTGCAGACCCTCCATGCTACGGTGGTCCAGGACTTGGGGCTCCACGATGGCATTCAGAAAGTTATATTTGGAAATAATCTCAACTACTGGCTACACAAGCTGGTGTTTGTAGATACGATTGCCTACCTTACAGGGAGGAGACTGTGTTTGTCATTGGACCGTTACATGTTGGTGGATGTGGACGACATATTTGTGGGCAAGGAGGGAACTCGTATGAAAGTGTCTGATGTGGAGGTGAGTGAACCCTAAATGATCAATAAACTTTAATTGCATCATGTTCTTGGATGTTCTTTATGTAGGACAGGTTTGTTTATATCTGCTGAGCTTTTTTATTTTCTGCTGTACAATGTATGAGTTCAGGACCAAACTGAGTAATATTTAGTAGAAGGATCGCTATTTCACTTTCATTCTTTTGAAAGAAAATATTGTTATGTGCTGTTRGTTTACCAGTTTGTGTGCTTGAATCATACGGAGAATGTACCAGTGCATGGAAAAGATTAAAAAATAGAGATCATACAAAACCAGAGAGCGCTCTGCTGAAAACAGGTTTTTAATGACCAAGTGTTCAGCACCAAAACAAGGAAGTGCATTGTATTTAACAAAGGCCCCGAGGCATGGCTCCGCCTATTTGATTACATCATCAGTGAGGGATCCCTACGCTGCTCGAAGCCACGCCCCCAGACATCATAATCTAGCCTAATGAGGATTTAAAATTTCAGTTATACGTTGAATTTTTTTCAGGCATGCATCTGTTTATATAAAATCACCAAGTTAAGCAAAACAGTCACATTTAACAATCTTTACAGTTCTATCTATCATAAGACTAAACCACGTGTAATGTAATTAAAATCAGCATAACCTAACCCCAATAAGTTTCTTCACTTGTGATTTAAGGTTTAAAGAGGACATATGTAAAATCCACTTTTTTAGCCCTTAAATACACAAAAAGTGTGGAGTTCATGTTTTTTTTTTCATCTCCAGGCTTTGCTCAACATTCAAAATAAGATGAGAGCACTGGTGTCTAATTTCACCTTCAACTTGGGATTTTCAGGGAAGTTTTATCACACAGGTATGGACGTCTCGTGACGCCTTCGTTCTCCACAACAATCATTAAACGTGGAGCTGAGCAGAAACGGTGTTCGACATGAATGTAATCCTGTTGTCGCCTCAGGTACTGACGAGGAGGACCASGGAGACGACATGCTACTGCAGCACAGGAAGGAGTTCTGGTGGTTCCCTCACATGTGGAGCCACATGCAGCCCCACCTCTTTCACAACGTCAGCGTCCTGGCCGAGCAAATGAAGCTCAACAAGATATTTGCTCAGGTTAGAGGAGATTAGTCGTTCAGTCTGCTTTAATCGAACTCTAGTTCGTTAGCATAGACGGTCCGGTTCGTTTGGGGATGGGTGAGTGTGTGATCGAACTCTCACGCGGGCCAAAAAAAGCGAGCTCTGGTCTGCCAACAAACTTGGGTGTCAGCTKGGTTGAAGTGAATGGACCTGTGAATGTCAGGTGTTCCAAAAGCAGGAAGTGGACTATAGTGCAGGTCATTATACATTATTGATAATTAGATTTTTTTTATGCTTTTTAAGCTCAATTGTTGATCGTATTGTACTCGAGATCGTATTATACGTGAATAAATATGGTAATTGGTTGTTATTTTTGAGTATACATGTRATTAATGTAATAAAGTTACTTGTATACCTTGCTCCACGTCTGTATAAGGAGGACATCACTGAAGTTGCACGCACTCTACTCAGTTCACGCCGTGTCCTACGGAGCCGTCTCAGCCGCCTTGTGTGAAAAACAACATTCTCTATGGTCTTCTGCTCATGTTGAGCTCATTGTTGAGGAATATTTGTTGTGCACATTTTCCAAAAACACAAGAGAAATCTTACAACTACTAAAATCTGACATCACTCTATTTGTTTACATTTTGTGAAGCAGGAAGTTGCGCTCGGGTGTCTTCTTCAGAGGCTTTTTTTTTTTAAGAGTTGTTTCCTTCGGTTGTTCTTGGTGCAGCGCCACCACAGCTGAGGGGTGAAAASACCCTAAAATATCATGTTACCTTGTATTTCTACTCTCTAGTTACTTAGAATTACACATATTTGATTAATTATGTTCTTATCATACTGACCTCCAACCTTTTTATTGCTAACCTTATGTTTGAACGCTGCTGTTTCCAGGAGCACGGTATCCCAACAGATATGGGCTATGCGATAGCTCCGCACCACTCCGGGGTCTACCCTGTTCACAGCCAGCTGTACGAAGCATGGAAGTCTGTGTGGGGCATCAAGGTGACCAGCACTGAAGAATACCCCCATCTGAGGCCCGCACGATACCGCCGAGGCTTTATTCACAACGGGATCCAGGTCAATAACCACTGCTTTTATTAATTAATTTGGAATGATTGTTTCTGTGGGCAAACCTTCCTGTTTACATATTTGTGACTCGTGCTGACAAAACGAGTCACAATTTTGAGTTAATATTTTCAAATGCTTAGCTTCAAAAAGATAAAAAGTTTGTTGAAATTTGGTGATTTATCACCTGTCCTGGTTACAAGCTAGTTTTGTTTAGAAGAGTTCTGGTTTGAAAACTTGATTTTTATTCATCAGGAATTACACAATGAAGCCAAATGTTAACAAAAGCCAGCAGAGAATATGGTCGGTTTCAAAGGAAACCTGCTAGACTTGGATATAACGTTGTTATATGATATCTGTATGGACTCATTTTTATGCAAATRTCAATTACTTTTTAAAGCTGGATGATTTTTTTAATGTACAATTTAAATCAAATCTTGAACACTAATTAATCCTGATAATCTCATGTCCAYTCAGCCTCACCTTTCATATCCAACAAGCAAAACCTCAAACTTTTTCATGTGTTGGGTCAGACTTATGTGGGACACTCAACATGAAGTAAAACTAATAAAACAATAACAATTTTGCATAATGACCCCCTTTTTAAACCAGTAGGCAAAAACAATGAAATATTAAGTAAATGTTTCATCCACCAAACAAGAAAAGCTTCAGCACTTGTGTGATGGTACTGATTACATAATACAGTCATTGTTCTCCGTTCCACTCATTTAACCCTGACCTTTAGCACAGTGACTGCTGGACCCTGCCGCCCAGAAAGGAAGAAAAAAATGAAACTGAAATGAGCCTTTTACTAATTCACACAGAAATATTAGTTTCTGAGGAACAAACACATACACACACGAGTATAACGTGGAGTAATCAAACCCTTCGTTTTGTCCCAGGTGTTGCCCAGACAGACTTGTGGTCTGTTCACACACACCATCTTCTACAACGAGTACCCCGGAGGCTCAAAGGAGCTGGACAAGAGCATCAGAGGAGGAGAACTCTTCCTCACCGTTCTCTTAAACCCTGTAAGAAAGCCTCCATCACTACACACCATCTGCACATGCGTGACCTTAGACTTGACTCTGACAACACCAAACACTCTGGGTCGATGAAAGTCCGTCCAGAAACCACACGCAGATGATGTAATTATCTGTTTTTGTTGGCGTGACTCAACTGTCTTCTGTCCTTGTTTTTAACTCGTCTCGTTTGTCGTGCCTGTTTTAATCCAGATAAGCATCTTTATGACTCATCTGTCTAACTATGGCAACGATCGACTTGGCCTGTACACCTTCGAGTCTCTGGTGAAGTTCATCCAGTGTTGGACCAACCTCAGACTGCAGACGCTGCCCCCCGTCCAGCTGGCTGAAAAATACTTCCAGATCTTCTCAGAGGAAAGAACCCCACTCTGGCAGGTAGGTGCATTTATAAAATGTAATAAAATAAAGTGAAGCTGGAGTGAACACAGGCCGCAGTGCAGAAAACATGAAAATATAGATTTTTGCATCATTAAAAGATGCATAAAAATGAGTTCATAAAGACTTATAATCTTCCTAATTTAGCTTTAGATCAAAGTTTTCTAACCAAATTCTTAAGAAATAATTCTTTTAATTCCAATCTTTTCAGTTTCCTTTTGAAATGTATCATTTTACGTCAGGGAAATCCCTTCATATAATGAGAAACTTTTCCCATTTTAAATACAGGGCTGGAATTCCCAATGACAAACAGAACTTGCTTGTTTATAACCAATAAATCACCAATTTTTAACAATTCTTTATTGTGACTCATTTTGCCAGCATGGGTCACAAATGGGTTTTACTCATGTTGTATAAATTAAACTTTAATATTTTTTTCAGAACCCTTGTCACGACAAGAGACATAAAGATATTTGGTCCAAAGAAAAGACGTGTGACAGACTCCCCAAGTTCCTTATCGTTGGACCTCAGAAAACAGGTACTCCTCTCTCAGCCTTTCTTTCTTTAACATTTTGATTATCTCTTATATTTTCATTATTCTAAACATGCCGCCGTTGCTCTAAAGGCACTACAGCACTTCATTCATTCCTGAGCCTCCACCCAGCCGTCACCAGCTCCTTCCCCAGCCCCACCACCTTTGAAGAGATCCAGTTCTTTAGTGGAGCAAACTATGAGAATGGGATTGACTGGTAAACATGAACACACACACACACACACACCCCTTCAGTTTACTCTTAATAGCACATCAGCAGGTGACTGTAGCTGCTTTAAGGAACATTTCAGCCCCCTGTAAGCGAACAGAGAGACGTGTGGAAGCTAACCTGAGTTTGAGCTGTGACCAGAGGAGAGCAGCCCTCAYCAATGTGTCGGGTCATGTTGCTGCTCTGGGCTGAGGGTGTTGTGATGGGCAGGTCTGGACTTGTCTGGCAGCAGTTGGTGCTTCTGTTGGCATGCCTTGATGCTCTCTCCGATTTGCTGTTTTACAATCTGGAGCTTAAGTTTCTCAATTGCTAGATTATCAATCTGGTTTTAATTACTGGACAAAAATGTTTTCATCATTTCAACAAAAAAAAGTCAAATAATGTAAAACCACACACCTAAAGTTAAAAGTCAGTAGGCCTCGTTTTGCAGCAGCAAGTCTCTTCAGGTTGGGTCTCTGTTCTCTTGGTCCATCTGAAGTTTTTGCCCTAAACGGTTCCAGATCCTGTGTGTTAGATTGGGGCTGCTTATGTGTCACAATATTTCAGTCAATCCATAGATTCTCAGTTGGGTCAAGGTCTGGACTTTGATGAGACTGTTCCAGGACTTTATACCATTTCTTCAGCAGTGTGTTTAGTCATTTTCCTGCTGGAAGTTGCAACCCAGGTTGTCAAGAAGGGCATCCATCATAAAACAGTTGCTAAATCTCTCTTTTGGTGACCCATGAAAGAACAGCTGATTGAGAGACGGTGTGCATCAAAAATACCACGTCTTTATCTTTACCGTCATGTCCCTGTTGTTTTTGTCAGGTACATGGAGTTTTTCCCATTCCCCTCCAACATCAGCACAGACTACATGTTTGAGAAGAGTGCCAGCTACTTTGACTCAGACGTAGCCCCCAAACGAGCCGCAGCCCTGCTGCCCAAAGCTAAGATCCTGGCTGTCCTCATCAACCCATCAGACAGAGCTTATTCCTGGTATCAGGTAAAACTACAATCCTCCCTCTGCTCAGTGTTCACTCTGTCTGTTTTGGTCAGTAATGAGTTTTTAATAATGTGTTCTGTGGTGAGCTCAGCATCAACGGGCCCACCAGGACCCCGCAGCCCTCAACAACACTTTCCACGCAATAATGATGGCCGGCCCCACAGCCCCCAGAGACATACAGGTTCTTCAGCGCCGCTGCCTTTATCCCGGGGCCTACGCTGCTCACCTGGAGCGCTGGCTGCAGTACTACCAGCCTAGCCAGGTAATGCTGACTAGTGAGAATGTGAGAATTCATGCAGTGATTACCTGTTCTCTGTTTGAAAGGCTTTGCTGTTCCTCTCACTGTGAAGTTCTAAAGCAGACTCATCTGCTTGTCCAGGCTTGTGCTTCAAAACATGTCTGACTTTTATCCAATTTGCTCCCTGCAGGTATCTTTTTCTCCTCCTGTTTCCTCCCCTTTCCCTCCCAGTGTTTTCAGACACAGTGGGAAGAAAAGATCTTCATAAAATCACTTAACTCAAGCTTTTTGATTTGTTGAATTTGCAACTAAAACTCAAGTCTATAAGAGTCATTTAAGAGCTACATGGTGGTTAATTTAGTATTTTTATTCTTCAATTATACACTACATACTATAATAGACTACAGGGGTGGAAATCTTCAGGTGCCTCATGGTTTCAGTTCTGAAGGCTGGGATGGGATTTTAAGACATTTTCAATGCATTTTAATTTTCTTGAAACTGAAATGATTTTTACATATTTTACATAAACAATGATTTATGTTTTCTAATAAAAAGTGGGTAATAACATGTAAAAAATTAAAAAATAATCAGGCTCAGACAGCTGTTAGCATAGATGCTAACTTAACATTAAAGACATCATAGAAAAGCTAACAAGATCAGTAGTGCTTATTACTGGTAATGTTTTAAATTCTTATTTATCCAAACATTTTCTAACTTCATCTGTTGCATATAGACATGAAGTATATTCTGACTTCAAAAAAAACCCTGCAACATTTCTACTACAGGAAGCTACAGTGCAGCAACGACTGTGTTATGACTAATTATTTATATCTGTTTCACCTTGACGCTGTCCAGTACTCATATATCTTATGATAACTTCTTTCGGCTGTTAATCTGTTGCCCCAGACGTCAGGACTCCAGCAACGGATTGACCTCTCTTGTTTGATAAGTTAACTCTTTGGGCTGTGAGCCCTGTGATTGGTTAGGCTGTTATATTTGTCGGATTGTGATTGGTTGTAAACTGTCACATTGTGTTAACATGATGTTATATTATTGGCTGTTTCCGCTGACGAGGCAGCCACAAACCCGACAGACTTCCTGATTGACTTCTGTTTGTTTGTTGCTCAAGAATTAAATCATTTGACGACCAAACACACACACTTTCTGTGCATTTATTCCAACGTGTTTCTGCATTCTTGATAAACTTGCCACYTCAGATTTTTGGCGTTGTCGGCACAAAATAAAAAGCGTCGGCACAAAATAACATTACATAATTTAGTTTTGACATTTAAAGTCTTAAAAAAAAAAAAACTTCTACCAGCCCCTGGTCAGTCTCATCTTCCCTTCATGGATTATGTTCTAATTCAGTTCTGGGGCGACGGTGACAACAGGAGGTGGAGGTTCGTCCCGTAACCAGTGGGTTGCTGGTTTAAAATCCCCTCTGTGTCTGTCTGCCCCAGTGCAGCTGTGGCTACAGTGTAGCTTACCKCCATCAGTGTGAATGACTGTAATGTAAAGCACTTTGTAGTCCTTGGACTTGATAAAGCGCTGTATAAGTTCAAGTCATTTAACTTGCTGGAGGTGGGATTAATAACTTCAACCAGCTTCATCTGTAAACTAACAAGATGACACACAATCTTTAAAACATTTTGAAGTGGCTGTATTATCTTTGTTTTATTTAACAGTGAGTCCTGAACGCTTCTGTTTCTGTTTGTTTTCAGCTGCATGTCGTAGACGGGGCCCTGCTGCGGTCCAACCCGGTCCTGGTGATGGAGGGAATCCAGAGGTTCCTCAGTGTCACTCCCACCTTCAACTACACGCAGGCTCTAATGTTTGTAACACACTCGTGCATCCTGCTAACCAGAGCAGTCACACGTTTCTGCACCAGCTTTCAAAGTCTACAGATGAATGGAATTTAAGAAACAAGGACAAGTTTAAAACAATGAAACGTTGAAGACAAACCAAGATGCTGGAAGTTGGTTTGCATCCTGGATTTTAACGTTTGAATGAGTCAAGATGCTTTCATGTTGTTGTTTTTTATATTACAAATTTGTCCTATGAAACGTTGTAGTAACAAGATCTGATGCAGCACTTTTTTTTTTTTTTTTTTGCTTTTTATGAGAGTTTATTTTGTGTTTTTAAATCACTACAGACTCAAAAACACAACTCCAGCTTCTGGTTTTGGGACCCCTAGGTTTAAAGAAGTCTCATTCAGGAAGTAGTTCACATTCTGAACAGGACAAAATGCCCGTTTTGAGCAGATGAAATACTGCCTTTCTCATCTTTATTAACATCATATTCTGTTTTATTCACAGGAAGTGGAAGTCAGAATGTTTTTAGTATACCGTATATGTGAGCTGTTGAGCTTGTAGTTTCACTTCAGGATGCTGAAAGTGCATTCCCCCCCAAAAAAAAATACTTCCTGTTTTTTTTTTCTGTTCAGTCTGCATTTGATAAAGAGTTTTTAATGCATTCTAATGATTGTATTTGTTTACAGGTTTGATGACAGTAAAGGTTTCTGGTGTCAGCGAGTGGAAGGAGGTCGAGCCAAATGTCTGGGCAAGAGTAAAGGCAGGAAGTATCCTGACATGAGTTCTGAGGTACATTTATAGCACTGGTACTACTTTACTGAACGACAGGTTAAAAGGTTTCAATAAATCAAACACAGCTGAATCAGAACGGTATAAAACAATCTTTTTTTTAAATTTGTTTCCAGTCACGTGCCTTCCTAGCAGAGTACTACCGTGACCACAACATTGAGCTGCTACGTCTGCTGAACCGTTTGGGCCAACCACTACCGTCCTGGCTTCGCCAAGAACTCCAGAGCACCAGCCGAAGTTGAGGCCGCACGTCCCATCAGATCTGCGGCGAAGACGACGTTTGGCTGCGGATTAGATCGTTCTTCCTGATCCGCAGTCAACAAAACCACTTTCCTCCAGAGGGCTACGTTGGAGCTCATGGTACCAGTGCTCCTGTTCGCTGGAAACCAGAAGACTGGTCAACATGAACTCAAGGTTTCGGGTTTCTCGTTCGATCCCCGAGGACTCCCCTCTTCATCTGTGGCCAACCTCCTGTTAAGCCCCGGGCACATGTGGGTCCGGCGTGTGGGACCGGGCCGACACTTTTACTCACCAACCGGGATTTAACGGTGACCAGCGGGTTGTGAGCTTTAAAAATGGAGGAGTCGGCCATGACGGGAAGCCGTGATGCTGGTGACCCTCCAGAATGATTGAAAAGGTTGAGGTCCGGGCGAGACCATCAGTACCCAGTAACTTTAAGCAGACTGTCCACTCAGCCCAAATCCTGATCCACTTCTCTCTAAGAGCCAACTTGTCCTGAAACCGAGCCGAGAGTGGAAACACGGTCCTGCGTTTAGACCAAACTGAGACTCTCCCTCTGGACTTTCTGGGTTCTTTGACATACTGGTTCGGTCCTGATGGTACAAGAACCTAGCTTCAGACCAGGGTTCTGGAGGCTCTGACCCGTGGGATGCTCTGCATTGATTTAATGAAAGTAGGCTTTACATACAAAACAATTAGGATGCTTCATTCCCAAAACTGAGTGTCAAAGTCAGATTATCCTTCAAGTATTTGAACTAATTATCACAAGGTTTTATGAATCTCAACTAAAACCCAGTTCTGGTCCAGGCTGTGCCTCCTAATACGAATTTGTCTTTTTATCACTTTTGTATCTGAATTGTTCAGCTGGGTTGTAGCACGGATTTTTGAACAAATACACAAAACACCATGGATGGATTAAAACCYAAAAATAGAGCAATTTTCACTTTTAGAGCGCTTAAATTTTCTAATAAATCTTTGTGATCTGGAATTAATGTGACTTTAACGTGGTCTGAACAGGTTTAATGTTTAGCTTTAGTTCATACATTTTCAAGATGATTTGTTAGCCCAGTCCACAAATGTTTTGGTCTCGTGCATGCATGAAGGTGAAAACTGGAGTAAAACTAAATACTCAAGTGGGACACAGACCTGGACCAGAGCTATGTGAACCTAGTAAAAACACCTACTATATATTTTGACTTTGAAGCAAATGGTTTTAAAAAAAAAGATTCTCAGTGTTTCATACCAGCTGAATAAAGTGAACAAAACTTAAGTCAAACAAAAGGAGCTGTGGGTGCCATTTAAACATTCACATTAAAAAAACAATAAAAATAGAAACTTATGTTTGCTATTTTTCTTTCGTTAAGACAGTCCTTTACCAACTAGTTTGGATTTTATTTATTCCTCATGAATGGACCCTCTCTTTTTTATTTTTAAAGCATTAAAGGAACTTGAGCTCTTATTGTGGTAGCTTATGAGCTACATTTATATTTAAAGCAACTTTAATTGGTTAAACATAAAGTCAACACAGGATCTCTAACAGTACCACTCAAACCATCAGGACAAGTTTATAGACTGACGGGCCAGTTCAGAGACTGCATCATAGCTGCTGTTTTCATTTCAGTTTTTCTATTAATGTCAAAAAAGCTAACACTGTATATTATCTTTAATAAACTTAGAGGTTGGAACAACCCTAAATGTCTGTTTTCTGGTTCATTTTCATCCTGAGCTGATCTCCAGTGATGGAGGTTTTACCAGCAGTTTGTTGGTTTCAGCAAGAAAAAGTTTTAACCCAGAGTAATGTTTTAATGGTTTTTATTAAGTAAACTCTACACTTTCAATATTGCTTTCATCTTTTTTTATCCTCTCTTTCTAAAGTAGAATATTTTGTAATAAGTACATATAGAACCTTTCAGTTGAGCTACACATCTGAGGAATACAAAAATACCACAGTTCGTTTTCTGCAAAGTTACTTCCTCCGGGTTCACACAGCCACAGCTCTTCAAGTAACCAGGGAGAGTCGTTCAAATAGCTCAGTGCCCAGTTTCAGAACCATCCGTGTTCTGGACCCACGGCCCGCGGCGGTGCTGCTCAGCTCCCACCACACACAGACGGAAGTTCTGCTGAAGGAAGCCTAAATGAATCCGATCCAGCAGTGCCGAGACCCGAGTCTTTACAGGAAACGTGAACAGCAGCCACCGTTCGGTCCATGTGTTCAGTCCAATAGGGGGCGCTGTGATCCAGTCAGGCTGGATGTTCCTCTTTATTTATACTGTGGCATCTTTTTGTTTTAGCTTCATGTTAAAAGCTCAGATCTTCTGGAATATTCTCAGCAGTGATGTGAAATCTGACAACTAAATGTTAAAAAAAAGAAGTCCAGTTTAGTGTGTTTTTTTTTTTTTATCAAAAAGGGTACTTAGGATCTGAAAAATTAGAGAAACTATGAAAGTGATTGTTCGATCCGTCTGGGGAAGAATTAAACTGGATGTTGGATGGGCTTTGTGGACCAGCGTGTTTTGGTCTGCAGCTGTGTTCACGTCCTCCCTCAGACTGAAGTGTAAATGTGGATCCTACACCTTCCATGTTCTTTTCCCTCCTTCCTGTTTTGCCATAGTCTATACAAAATATCAAAAAAAAAAAAAATACACAAAATACTTAAACATCTTCAGTCGTTCTCAAAAGGAAAACCTTTTTTTCCTACAAATCGTTTTGTCCCACGCTCCTAAAGTTTTCGGGTTTGAAGGTTTTGGAGAGGAAATCTCAGCACCAAACACTCTGGGATGGAAAGTGGTTTCCTTCAGAAGTGAACTAAAAAAACAAATAACATAAACCTACAACATGAAGATGGAAGACCTCCTGTTTAGAGGGTACAAAGAAAGAGGAGTCCACTGTTTTTTTCTCACACACACACCCACACACGCACGCACGCACGCACGCACGCACGCACGCACGCACGCACACACACAGAGCGTATGGCAAATAAAGAGGGAAGAGAGTAAGGTGAGTGGGCGTGTCCAACACTAGTGAAGGGGGAGGAGTCAGTGTGGCTCAGTGAAGTGGCAGTAGTAAAGCTGTGTGCTCTCCTTCGGCGTGCCGCTCAGGGAGAGAACGTTGCCATCTCCAGTGAAATGCGCTGCCACAGCTCCTTGGTCTGCTTGCCCCTCTTCAGGTTCTGCAGCACGTCGTTGAACTGCATCATCCCCACCGGGGTCAGGCAGAACGCCCCCCGAGCGCTGCGGATGATGTTGACAAAGTCGTCGTAGTCGGCGGGCGTCAGGTGGATGAGCCGGTGGTGGATGTACTGAGGAGAGAGAGGGAGGGAGGTGGGTTAGTGTGCTGCTCAGATTGRGTGAGCGCGTTCCTCGGGGTCCGCGTCCCACCTGCAGGTAGGCCTGCTGGCAGCGCTGGACCAGCTGGTGGAAAGCAGGCGTTCGGAGGTGGGCGTGGATGTGAGCTGGGTTCAGRCTCTGCAGGGCCTCCATGATGATCTCCTGCAGGACAAACGGGCTGAGGACTCCCTTCGCTGCGCCGACACAGAACTGATACACGTGGTTGACTCCTGACAGATCCAACAGGAAGAGAACAGGAAACGGGAGGGGATTACTGTTTCTTTGTACATAAGTGAAAACTTCAAAGCATGCCTCTTCATGACCAGTTAGCTGTATTTTATACAGTATAAGCTAAATATGCAAACAAACTCTTCTAGTCTTTTACAGCTCATACAAAATGTGGGAATTTGCCTCATTCCATCTCCACAACATTTCAGTGCGAATTACTGATTAAACTGTGTAGGGCTCATAAAAACACATTACCTTCTAACATTCAATTACACTTTGTTAAAAGACAGAGTTGTTATAATCTCAAAGGGATAGAGATGTTTGTTAAACCCAAATTTAGAACCAGTTTAAAGGAACGGYGTACTTCAGTCCAGGATATAAGATTATGGAATAATCTGGAAGATGACATTAAAAATGCCAGATCAATGAGTATATTTAAGAGAACGATAAAGAATAATTTGCTGGAGAAATATGTAAATGTATGAATTGTTGTTCAAGGAGTTAAACCTTTGTTATTTATCTTTTTTTTATAAACTAAAGCTTATTTT